CCAAACAGGATCAGGAATCTTCTGAACACCATACAGGCGAAGTCTACAGGCCATCCTTACTAATATTATAAAACGGAAAGTGAGTTTGTTTGTTTGTTCCCCTTTCACGCCGTAACTACTAAACCGATTGCTTTGAATTTTTGCAGACGTAAAGTTAAAAGTCTGGATTAAATACAGTGAAACTTGGTTAAGTGGGACCTGGATAAATGAGAAACCTCCATAACTGGAACTCATGCTGAGGTCCCAACACTTTGGCACTGAATTACCTCTGCTAGTGGGACTAGGTAAACCTCTATATCTGGGATTTATTCTTTCGGTTTATCATCATAGTTACCTCTATAACTGAGACAGCGAATAAATTTTATATGCATAAACCTCTGTAACTGAGATAACATTGTTTGTTTACTCATTCTTATTTTACCCACAAATTCCACACGTAATTCCAAGTCCACCTCTATTAATTGAACCCTCTGTAAATGAGACAGATATTTATTTATACCTGTATATCTGAGACACTGGGTAAGTGGAAAACCTCTTTAAGTGAAACGACATTGCAGGTCCCTTGATGTCTCACTTAACCAGGTTTCACTGTACTATATATATTTTTTTTTTTTTTAATAAACGTTGCCCCACACTAGGATATTCTCCTGTATCGTGGGTACGTTTACAAACATACAAGTTCACATACACATGACACCCAGACCCGGAACAACAATTTGTGGATCACACAAAGTGTTGTTCCGTGCGGGAATCGAACCCGCGACACGTTGCACGGCAGCCGGTTGCCCAGCCACCGCACCAACCGTGCAGTCATTATAATTTTTTTTAGTAGTTTAGTATAATAAAGACATTATAATAATATATAATAGGGTACTTTTTATCCCGATAAAATTTGATATTCCCGAGGGAAAACAGAAGTATTGGTATAGATGGCGCTGGGTGTATTGGTATATGTCACATAGGCTACTTTTTATTCTTTTGTGACGCAAGCGAAGCCGCGGGTAAAAGCTTGTTATAAAATAAAATCAGTGACGATTTCCACGTAAAATTGTATCTCGATCTTTTCTTGAAAACACTTGGTTATCAGAAGATAAATTCTAATATGAATCATGTGTATTTTCGTTTATGACAACTTTTACAAAAACATGCACACCTACATAAATTAGGACATAATGAAATGGCTTCTGAAAAACGTTGCTGATGGTGAATCAAACGGTTTTCCTGAAAACTTGAAAACGAATTAATAATGAACTAAAAATAAAGAGATGAATAGAGAGATTTATAAGTGTGGGAGAGCCATGCTTCGGCACGAATGGAGTGATACCACGGCCTCACAGAAAACCGACGTGAAGCAACGGTTGCGTTGTGTTTCGTCGTGTGAGTGAGGTTACCGGAGGCCCAATTACCCTCCCCTTCGCCAATCTCCCTAATTCCTGAATCCCCAACAATCCTCAAATTCTAAATCCTCAAAAGGCCGGTAACGCACTTGTAATGCATCTGGTGTTCCGGTTGTCCATGGGCGACGCCGATTGCTTACCATCAGGTGATCCGCCTGCTCGTTTACCGGCTTATGCCATAAAATAAAAAGATGTTTTTCTTAGAATGTATCATTATGCTTTGTAAGTGGCAAGATTATTGGTGTTATATTATACTTGGTACACTATTATATGTGTTGCTTGTAACCTATTTACTTAAGGAGATTTTCGTAATTCGAAAAAGTGTAAAAAAAGATATATTATTTTTTTCAAAGTCAAAGTCAAAGCATTTATTTCAATTAAACAATAATTTGGTACGTTTAAAACGTCAATCAATACAAAATAAATAATAGTCTGACAGTCAGTCCGTCAGTGAAATTAGGTGAAGCTAGGTGCTCATTCCAAAACGTAGATTCGAATGGAGAAGAACGAGGAAGAAACTCCATTCGTTACTCTTTTAAAAAAAGTATGTTCTACAATGTCTCTGATACATATTCCAATACTGTACGTATATGTGAGAACAATGCTAATTTAGCAAGATTTATGGGATATAAGCCGGTAAACGAGCAGACGGATCACCTCATGGTAAGCAATCGGCGTAGCCCATTGACACCTGAAACACCAAGGCGTTACAAGTGCGTTACTGGCCTTTTGAGGATTTGGAATTTGAGCAAGCGTTGTTTCACGTCGGTTTTCTGTGAGGCCGTGGTATCACTCCGGTTGAGCCGGCCCATTCGTGCTGAAGCATGGCCCCACACTTACCTAGTATAAGATTATAGCTGATGAGATTAATTTAACAGTTCATTGCTATCTATTTATTCACCACAGTAATAAGTACTTACTTTCTACACAAAAATGTAATGTTACAATCATAATTATGTTCTATGGACGGATGGGAAAACACTGTCTATGGCTACAGTCCTAACTTCCTATCCTATTGGCAATAGAGTACCTAGAGTTCTCCAGACGTCCTTGCAACCACTGAACCATCGAAGTTACATTGTAAACCTATTATTTATTATGTATGCATGTATAGTAATATAACAATGACAGTCTGTATGTTCACTGGTCTATGATCCATTTTGAATACCTATTGAACTATTTTTACAATGGTTTTCAATTACATTAGTTTATATATTTTTAACGATCAGAAGATTTAAAAAAACAATATGGGATGTAGTTACATTTTATTAGATTACGCGAATACAATTTCAAATTAAACTTATCAACCGATGTTTATTTAAATAGGAACAAAATAACAATAACTTAATATGAAAATAATAGCATTGAGAATTTAGATAATTAAAAATGAAAAATATAAGTCTCACAGAACTTGACCG